CTCAGGAACTGCAGGGTCTGTGGAAGAGGCTTCCTTACCGGTCCGGTGTCTGTGGGAGCGCCGCTTTCTGAAATAAAGCGGGAGGAAAGGGAAAACTAAAGATGGTGCTCTGGCCCGGTCAGCTTGTGAGGTAGCTAAACAAATCCATCAGGGAAGTTCAGGGGAGAAAAAAAAAAAAAAGATGAAATACTTGAACTGGATTCCACTGCGAAGCGAGGCGGTGGCACTGAAGGCGCACAGCGACAGCCACCCCAGCGCTGCAGCCTCTGCGGGTCTGCGTTGCAGGTACCCTGTGCAAGTGCCTTCGTCGCTCACAAGATTGAAACCACATCAATAAAACTCGCTCTAGGACAGCTCTCAGCTGTATCAATAAGTAAGGCGCACTCACAGATGACAGTGTTGGTTACAGACTGTATTAACTGGTGGTGGTGTTGGAAAACAGACTAGTTCAGTCACCACGTTGCCTTCGTTACTAAAAATGGACTTCAGATAAAATAGGCCCGACTGCTGGAGTGGGAAGTTTAATGACAGTTTTGATGTATCTGCCAAGTTAGGTCATCCATTGACTTCCACACATTGTAGTTTTTCTTCTATTTGCATGGAAAATCCATCCATAAGAACCACCACTGGAAAAAATGGTGGTCAAGGCAGGCCAAACAGCTCACAAAACAGCTTTTGGACTGTTTCAAGAAATAGAATGATCTTTAAGCAGATTCCCTGTTTAAATCCACCATCTTGCCACATGCTTGGCATAGCCAAATTTACATAGAATTAGAAACTGCAGCACTGATACCAGAGGAAAGATAAGCCAGTGTGAACTTTGGCCCAGCTTAGCATTTACCTTACATCCCCGGTGGACTCTCAAGTGTGTAGCTCCCCGACTCCCTGCTTCTCCTGCACAGCTTGTTAAAATAAAGGTAGATGGTGATAAGCGCTGCGGACAACTCCATGACAGGAAAGACATCTGAAACACTGCATGTGTGGGCTTCACGCTCAATTATCTTTTGTGCCTGTTCAAAATAGAACAAAATTTGACATTTTCTTTTTTAAGGGACAAAAGAGGAAAGACTGATCCCCTAGCTATGGATAAGTAGTTATTCCTCCTCCTCAGTCGAGTCATTGTTTGACTTCTTCAGGTCAGTTGCATCAGATTAACTTCTTCAGGACAACATATTTTTTGCTGCTACCGCACGTAATAGGTAATGAGCTTACAACTTAAATATCGCTTAATATGCAGGTGCACTCTTGGTACACAGATAGCAACCTTAAACTTAGCACCTGGATGCCTTGTACATCAAGAAAAAGAAATTTTGTAGGTGTGAATCTTAAGTAAGTGTGCTTTAGAAGGCTAGTGGTCTTGGCATTGAAGAATATGGGTCGTATGCAAGGTTAATGTAATGAAAGAGTTGAAATACTATGAATGATGGCCACTAAACCATGTTTGACAGACATGGGGGGCAAGGGGAGCAAAAAGAAAGCTAATTTGAAGGTTAAATTGATAGTAATTCTACCTCCAAGTAAGCTAACTATTTTTTTTTTTTTTTTTAAGTGGGTAACGCTTTGGCCTTCAACTATACCCTATAGTTATTTGGGAATATTTGGTACCTTCCTTAATTATTTAGTGGAGAACCACCACAAATGGGTGTGCTATGGGTAAGTTATATCTGACCGTATATTTGCATCTCTCCTGTTGCCTCTCTCTGACTCTACTGCTTAGCCCATGTTAACAAGCTTTTCTGTAACCCAGTTGTTAATTACATTTAAGGAGCTCTCCTTTCAAGCTCATTACAACTAAGGGTGTGGGGTCATAAGTATGTAGAGGACTAGACAGGCTAAGACCAGTATGAAAGTTTAAAAATTCAACTTAGAATTTGACATCTGTGTTGCTATAGTGAGAAAGGAAAAAAATTAAGGTACTACTTTTGGAGACAGTTATTAGTCCATATGTAAACTTATATTTGTAACACCTCCTAAAACTGGTTCTTTTGTCAAATTGTTACTCAAGTAGTCTAATCCTCTCCTTAGGAGTCTTCTTTTTCCAGCTGCAATTAAAGAACATTTTCTACCCTGCTACTAACTTATCCTGATCCTGTCCACGTGAGAAATAACCTGCTTGAAGAAACTGCATAGTGCTAAGTTTTGCTGGGTTACAAAACTTAGTTTTTATTATTTTAACTAACAAACAAGCAGAAAGATGCTTCCCTGTAACCAGATCTCTCACTTGCTGACTTCCTGTAAGGATGGGAAGACAGCAAGACTTTCTTGTTTATTGCATCATGTAAACAATAAGCCTTCATCTTTGCTGAGAGCATCTTTTGCTTTAGCAAAGTATTGAATTGATCCTAACAATATCCTGTGTAACTTCTTTTTTCTTTAAAAAAAAAAAGCTTCTAGATGAAAATTTGTAGATAGAGTTTGACTAATCAAGTCATATTATATATTTTGAATCTGTATACACAGTTGTTTACATAGAACTATGAGAACTTGAGTAACTCATTAGGACCACTAAAAATACTTGTGTAAATAAAAGGATAGATTTTGCACACCTAACTAAGATTAACTTGTACTGCTTTTGTAAGCGTTTGGCTTTTTGGCTTAATCTAAGTGCTTTTGAAACATGCAGTGGATACTTGAAATGGCAGGTCCAGGCATATTGAACAAGTTACAGTTCCTCTTAATTTCTCAGTGGACTTTAGTTTCTTTTAAGACTACGTATGCTTTTTTTCTGAGATAAGAAACATGCCTCACTTTCTAGGTTAAAGTGAGACGTTACTTCTGTGCTCCAGTTTTACGTTCTCCGCATAATGCATCTTGGATACAACAGTCTTCTCCCTAATTTTCAACAAAATAAAATATCTTCTCTTTTTATTAGGTTCTGGGTATCCTGGCTGATTCATGTAGTAGAAGCCTTCTACGGTGTTAAGTTATGCCAGTAAGTTTTTCCCTTCCACACCCCAACACAGGTTCTCTGAAAAGGATTTCTGGTACAAGTGACATAAGCTACAGGCTGATTTTGGTGGTTCTCAGCAGCAATGTTAGTTCAGAGGATGCTAATAAAATCCTTGCTGCAGTGATAGTTTGCTGTCCTCCACAAGAGATTACTGCAAATGCTGCCAGTGGCTCCTGTTGTACAGGGTGGCAAAAGCAAGGGATGGCGACTTGCAGAACTGGCAGCAACGAGGTTTGCAGGAGCTTGTCTGTCTGCCTCTGACCTCACTGTTCACTGGGTAACATTGCACTTGAGGAAGCAGAGGGAACAACAGATAGTGTAGAAATAGTCTGATAACTTCAGGTGTTATAACTTCATCAGATCTTACCTCATCAGAATTTTGAGACTGCTAATTACTTGCTTAAATGATTGTATCTATATTGTGAGAATACAATTGGACACTTCCATTTGGGACTATGTAAGATCTACCAGTATCTGCAGGCTTGTGGGATAAAATACTTGACTAATCAGACTATGAAAGTAAGGCCAACTCACTCTTATGTTAGGATAACAAATTACTTGGAAAGGTATGGTGTCCAAACACATAGTCCTTCTGTTCTTTTGAATTTTGTTTGTAATAATTCAGAAGAATGTAGATAGTGGTTTTCATGCTCTACAGGGTAGACGGCTAGTCTGTTTGCCTTTGTAAAAATGGTGGTTTTCCACTTCATTTAGTTCAGTTCACAACTGTGTGTCACAGGCTTCTCAGGTAACATCTCTTGGAGGCAAAGGGATTTTGTTCCATGGAAAGCTATTTAAGGTGGTTCTCAGGATAACAGAATATGGATGAACATGTTCTGCCTTCAGAATGGGAGTTAGTAACAAATTTTTTACCAGGCCTCAGTTTTAAATTATGTAGCGTTAAAGTTTTAACTCTGATTCTGCAGATGGATAGGTATGTAGACTTAAGGTGATTTTTAAGTATGAGGGAACTTGATTACCAGTGAAGGTACCAAATGGGTGTATTGGAATCAAGTTAAGTAATGAAGTCTTACAGAGTAGTGTTACAGAGAGAAGAGAGAGAGAGAGCATGGACCGCCTGCCCATCCTCTCTTCAGGCATACGTGTAGATTACTAAAAGTTGTACTTTACTATAAGCATCAAACATCATATGCTTTTTACTGATGTAAAAGCGATGTATACTTACAAATATCACAAAGGAGGCATGAGGAAGAACTAGCGAGGAAGCACATACAAATTTGTTAATCAATAGTAGTACTGTCATTGGCTCTTGGCCTGTATGTCTGCATATGGACTCTTGCTTTATATAAGCAGGTAAGTTTCTTAAGCCCTACTCTTCCAGTTTCTGTACTCATTTGGAAGGATTACAGCTGGGATTATAAAAAACGTTTTTCACAGCTGGTAAGACAATTTAAGAATGAACGTTAAGAAATGTTGTGTTAATCCAACACTGGCTACACAATCATTTTGTACATGTAGAGGTTATGGAACAATTAACAGCTGAACTGTTCCGGCAAAGGTCAGTAGAGGGAGCTGCCTTGTAAACTTGTGAGTTGGAGCACAGTTATGCTTGACAACTGTTTACTGGAAATGTGAAATCAGTTGGGTTTGCTGTCATGTTTGTACTCATTCTTTTCTCTAAAAATTCAGTAGTATTTCCCAACAAAGTGAAGTGGAGGACAAAGTTACATTTTCTGTAATATGCAGAAAAATTCACATATGCCAAGTTAAAACTGACTGACATAGGAAGGTCTCTGCTTTATTTATAAAGCCAAGTGTCTTCAGCGGCTTGCACCTATATTTTTCTAGCCACCAATTCAGGCAACAGTGCTCCTGTATTGCACAGAAATTGTCAGGCCTCTTTGCCCTGCTAGCATGCAGTGTACTTTCAGTGACTGTAGTCAACAAGAAGTTACATACAGACTACTAAGATTAGTATTTACACTACTCAAACTTCTTGGTTCTGTGTACGTAAACTTCTAGGATAAGTAATTTCAAATAGCATAGATTGAGATTGCAATCTATATATTGTTGAGGAAATTGTATGCATGAAATCTCTGAAAGAACCTTTGTTCCATAGATAGCTTAAAATCCACTAAAATCACAAGAACTGATATGTTTAGTTTGTACAGGAAATAAGTTTGAGAAGGTTGATGTTAATGATGCTAAGATCCTATGTTCTAATCAAGTCTGTATCAAGGATGGGTAGAAATGTCTAACCTTACAAAGTAAGTATCACAGTATAGCCTGCAAGACCGAAAGGTTTTTTGACACATTCTATGCTTTTGTTAATGTTACAGATCTAAAGGAATCACTGACCCGGCAATTCAGTTTCAATGGTTCATTCAGACACTTTTATTCGGGTATGCTTCCTTTGGCCTTCTGGTGTCTTACAAACCTTCAGCCAAGAAGCACTACTAGAAGACAGTGAAAGAAGTCTCTTCTCACGTTCTTCATCCTCATTTTTTGAGAAAACATCCTCACTTCCATGTCTA